GGTTGAGCTATAGGCGCCGAGCCGACAGATTCTTTTCAAAGGAGTAGCAGATCAGAGTCACAGCTGACTTTTCTTCTGTGATGACAGAAGCAGGATGACAGTGGAATGTGGAATAGTACAAGATACTGAAAGAAAATAACTGCCAGTGGCATTCCATGAGAATATATTTCAACTATGAAGATATCTATCTATCTATCTATACATATATGTGCATGTGTGTATATATATATATATATATATATATAGAGAGAGAGAGAGAGAGAGAGAGAAGCAACCAAGGATGTTTGCTCCCAGAAAAACCATCTCTAATGGGCCTCCTAAGATATATTTCAGAAGAAAAATTATTCCAGGTGGAAGATCTAATATGCAAGGAATAAAGAGTAGAGAATATGGTAAATGTGTACATAAATCAAAATGAACAGTGAACATATAAAATGATGATGATGATGATGATGATGATGATGATGATGACAATGATGATAATGTCTTTTGGGGCCCAAAATAGAAGATTGATATTTCATTGATGATAAAATGCCACTAATGGCAAGACACATGATTCATATCTCACTAACAGAATAAATGCTGCCAATGAAACTATGACAAATATTTTAATATAGTCCCAAACAGTGTATGACTCTTGTTAATTTGAAATTTCTTTGATCTGTTCTAAAGGATTTGGTGATTTCTCCTGACTTCATTTGCATTGACAGGTTATGAGATGGATTACCCTTCTGCTTTTTTCTTACTAGCAAAGAGTAACATGGCCTCATCCACATCTGGGTATCTTTCTTAGATTTTATTTATTTATTTATTGAGACAGAGTTTCACTTTGTTGCATTCGGTAGAGTGCTGTGGCATCATAGCTCACAGCAACCTCCAACTTTTGGGCTCAAGTGATTCTCTTGCCTCAGCCTCCTAAGTAGCTGGGACTACAGGCACCCACCATTAACATCTGGCTATTTTTAGAGGCAGGGTCTTGCCCTTGCTCAGACTGATCTCGAACCTGTGAGCTCAGGCAATCCACCCGGCTCAGCCTCCCAGAGTACTAGGATTACAGGTGTAGGCCACCATGCCCGGCCCTTTCTTAGATTCTATAAAACACCAGGTTGTTGCTTTACAAAAAAAAATATGGAATTTTAGTCATTCCTCAAACAAATAATATAGGTGTCATAAAGATAAAATGCATGGCTACTCTTTTATCCAGTGCCCTATTGCATTCCATAACTTTTTGTTTCAGTACCACCTAGTAATGTAAACTCTTTTGAAAATGTTTGAAAAGGCAATCCATTAAACAAATATCAGTAGCCACATAACTCAATCAAAGTGATATGGATTGAGTAACCCTTTCTGAAAAGCTTGGGAGCAGCAGTGTTTTGGATTTTGGAATATTTGCATTATATTTACCAGCTGATCACCACCCCAAATCCAAAAAGTCAAGATCCAAAATGCTCCAATGAGCATTTTATTTGGGTGTCATTTTAGCACTCAAAAATGTTCGGATTCTGAAACATTTTGGATTTTAGATTTTTGGGTTTGGGATGCTCAACCCATAATATGAACAGTCATGACTGGTTCATTTATGCACAAGATACCTGTTTCAAGAGTGCCACGTGGAACCAGAGGCAACTGTAAATGACCATCGACTGTAAGCCATATCTCAGTTTCAGAGATGATAGCATGTGCAATAACATGCATACTAGAATTGACAAAATGCCATCAAGCATGTCATGACAATAGAATGGGAGTCGAGAGGAGCAAAAATAGAGTTAAACTGATATACAGTCTTTCTATAATCTGGAAGGTGGATACAGATTTTAATCAATTTGAACCAATTTAGACTTTGATAACTGAAGTACCCTTGTTGTAATTTCTAGGTAATCAGTAAAAACCTAGAAAGAAAATAAATTAATCACTTAATTTTTAACTAGTAGAAAGGAAAAAAATGGATTGATAAAAATACCTTGCCAGTCCAAAAGGGCAAGAAATAAGAAAGAAGAAATGTAAGAAACTAAATTTAGGATGGCTTATTTAAATTCAGGTGCACTAGTAATTACATTAAGTAAACTCACTTGAATCCAGTTAAAAGATTACCAGGTTGAAAAAGTCAAATTACATCCTGTTTGTAAAACATAAATCTAAACCTTAAGGTCTCAGATTGAAAGCAGAGATGATGAAGAAAAACAGTGTCTGTTCTCGGGAAAGTATACACATTTTTAAACAGACTTGAAAGTAATAATGTGCCTCAAGATATATAAAACAGAAACTGACAGAATTTCAAGAAGAAACAGACAAACCCACGACCATTGTGAGAGATTTAAAAGCACATCTCTCTTATCATTAGAGTAAGCAGGCCCATAAAATCAGTACAAACATTAAACAACATGATTCATGAATTCAATTTAAAGAATATAGGCTCGGCGTCTGTGGCTCAAGTGGCTAAGGCGCCAGCCACATACACCTAAGGTGGTGGGTTCGAATCCAGCCTGGACCCGCCAAACAACAATGATGGCTGCAACCAAAAAATAGCCGGGCGTTGTGACGGGTGCCTGTGGTCCCAGCTACTTGGGAGGCAGAGGCAGGAGACTCGCTTGAGCCCAGGAGTTGGGGGTTGCTGTGAGCTGTGATGCTACAGCACTCTACCCAGGGGGATAGCTTGAGGCTCTGTCTCAAAAAAAAAAAAAGAAAATATACGTGCATGTATATACACATACGCACACATGTATACTTCATGTGACAAGTGTAGTATAGAATATACATTCTTTTCAAGCCCACATGAAATATTTATAGAAACTAAACAAAAAATCTGCCACAAAGAATATAAAGAATTGAAATCATACATAGTATATTTTCTGATCTTGTTGGATTTAAACTAGAAATAAGGAAAACAAGATTATCGGGAAATATAGATCGGCCTTTTAAAGAATCTCATAGGTCAAGAGTCTTAATGAAAATTAGAGATATTTAACCAAGTGATAATAAAATGACTCACATTAACATTTGTGAGATGCAGCTGAAGCCGCACTGAGAGGGAAATTTATAACCTCAAACACAAAGACTGGGAAAGAAGAACGGCTGAAAGTTGATGTAAGAGTCAATTGGAAGAAGCCAGGCAAAGCAAAATAAGCTGGAATGAAATACAAGAAAGGAAATAAATAACATAAATCAATGCAGTAGGCTTTGTGGGAGAGGCTTGCTGATGAATCTGAACTATGATACTCACACAAGGAGGACAAGGCAGAAGAAGAACAGCGAGACTGCAATGGTTCCATACACGATACCCTGGATCAATCCTTTCACAAACACGTTGGAAACTGAATTCTTATCTGGAATCAGAGGGAGATGGGAGTGGTGTTTCTCCTTAGGCTCTGAAGTCTGAGCTACAACTCTACTCTTTCCTCTGGCCCTGTGCCCACCCTCACCCTGGTTCCTGTTATTCTGGTTCAGTCACCCGGCCCCTGGACTCTCACCTGGTATCAGGAAGATCCTTGAAGTATGGATTCCATATTGGTTCTTCCCCTCACAGACAAGTCTCATGAGTATTTCTGGCTCCCCAGTGAGGCTAATGGTGCTGTTGGCCCAGGGGGCATGTATAGTAGAGGTCACCTGGAGGATGGTATCCATGCTGCTAACATCCACAGGGGCACCTCCCAGCCACCACTGCACGGAGGGTGTGGGGACCCCCTGGAAGGCACAGTTGCACTGCAGTGTTTTCTCCAAGGAGCAAGAGGAGTTGAACAACCTGGCCGGTGCTGTGGGGAGGGAGAGTCAGGAGTCCATAAGGCATCCTGACTTTCCTTCCCTACTTCTTCTGAGATCTAGAATTCTCCTTGGCTGCTATTCATGGGGAGCTTCAGAAAGCCTTTTTGAAAGTGCAGAGGGGCCTAAGAGCAATTCCCTTTCATCCTCTCTCCTCATCTGCCTCCAATTCTGGCTCTGCTCTTAACTCTGACCTCTCAGCCCCAGCAGTCAGGGGAAGAGGTAAGATGTTATTGCCCCCCAGCCTTCTTCCTTCGGCTACTCAGGTGTCTCCCACAGGCCCACCATTTCTCACATAGATGGGATTCTGCCTGTGCCCACCAGCACTCACAGATTGCTTGGAGCTTGACCAGGCCACTTCTGCTCAAGTTATCTAGGGCGAAGTTCAAGTGGCATCTTAGGGTGGTGCCATGGTCTTCAGGCTTTGGGGTGAGGTGCAGCACCAAGGTGGGTGAGCTGCCAGAGACGCCTGCAGTGGAGGACAAAGTGGGCCTTTTCCAGGAGAGAAAGAGGCCTTTGGTTTCTCTGCAGGTGCCTTTAATGGTACAGTTCAAGGTCACAGGCTTCCCAACTGCAAGAATCTCTGGGATATGAAGCTCTGACTTTTGAGTCAGATTTAGAAGAGACAGGAGTGGACCCAAACCTGTGGACAAGGGAATATCATAGACACTTTATTGCTGCACAGCATTTATAGGTTACAAAGTGCTTTCTCACCCATTGGCTCATTTGGAAACACCCCACCCCCAACTTCTGAACAACCTATGGAACCTGGGATTGGTATTGTTGGGTGGTTTTCCCCAAATAGATTTTGTTTCTTTGTGTGGAAGGCATGTGTCCCGTGGTCCAGGTGAGCAAACTAAAGAGGCTCATGTAAGGTGGTAGAACTAGAACCTGAACTCTGGTCTTCCAAGACAGAGAGGGAGTGGATTTTCTTCATGGCCTGTGGTTCCTTACCTGTCCCCCAGACTAAACTAGACTAGACCATAGCTCCTACACTGTTTCTCTGTCTCCAATCTAGCTCTTCCCTTAGGCTCTGCCCCTGCCCAGCCTGATCTGTTCAGTTTTTTACTGGATGGATGCTACTCAGCAAGTCACCTATCCTCTCTTTGCCATTTGTTTTTGGAAAAATAAATTATCAACTACCAAATGCAACTCTCCTGTTGCATTATTGTAAAATTATTGTAAAAATTAAATGCCTAAGGGTTTGTAAAGCCCAGTATCTGGTGAAGTAAAAACCACCACAATGGCTTGGCGCCTGTGGCTCAAGCAGCTAAGGTGCCAGCCACATACACCTAAGGTGGCGGGTTCGAATCCCCAGCCCGGGCCCACCAAACAACAATGATGGCTGCAACCAAAAAAAATGGCCGGGCGTTGTGGCGGGCGCCTGTAGTCCCAGCTACTTGGGAGGCTGAGGCAGGAGACTCGCTTGAGCCCAGGAGTTGGAGGTTGCTGTGAGCTGTGAGGCCATGACACTCTACCCAGGGGGACAGCTTGAAGCTCCGTCTCAAAAAAAAAAAAAAACAACCACCACAATGACCAGAACCCCTTTTGGATCTTCTTTCTAAAACACATATTGTATGAGAAAGAATGTCACCTGACACAGAGAGTTTGATATTCTCTCTCGGGAAAGCACGTTTTTGTTCTCCTAGATCTGCATAGAGTAGATATGTCATGCCATCTCCTTTGAGTATATCATGGATCATCAGGGTACAATCTGAGTCCTTGGGTTTGTTAAGAATGTGGAATCTGTCCTTGGCATTATTATCCATGGTAGCACTGGGTTTGTTGGGAGCTATGGGGGAGCTGCTATTTTCACTGAGCCAGTACCCCCTGATCATAGGATTGCTAAGGGATTCTTCAGGAAATTCAAATATGCAAGGGATTGTGGAGCATGGCCCCTCTTCCACTGGCATCTTCTTGACTTCCATTGAAACATAAAAAAGTAACCCTGTAAAGAGAGAGTCAAGTTAAAAATTGGACTCACTTTGCATCCTCCCATAGCCCACCTGTGCATTAAAAGACTAACCTCACCTAGGAAAGACTTGGCACTTGCCTAGCTGGGAGGTGATCTCTAAGCCCTGGGAATGTTCCACCTGATTGGATTGTCTTTGATAATCTATGCTAACACTGATTTATGGTGAGGACCTTGGGCCCTGAGGTACCACCTTGACCTCTGGATAGGCTGGAAACCAAGATCTTCCAGGTCTTCATGACTGGCCTTCAATAAAAACCCTGAACACGAAAGCTCAGGTGAGCTTCCCTGCTTGGCACATCTGAGCCTGCATTACTGTTAAAAGAAGCAACCTTTGGTCCTGTAATTCCACTGGAACAGGACAGCGAAAAGCTTGTGCTTGGTCTCTCCTGGACTCTGTCCACGCACCTCTACCCTCTACTGATTTTAACCTGTATTCTTTTGCTATAATTAACTGTAACCACGAGTGAAATAGTTCTGCTGAGTCCTTGTGAATCACTGAATCCAAAAGAAGTCCTAGGGACTCCCAAGATGGCACCACTCCAATCTAGTCTGCCAGATTTTTTCTCACTCTTGTTGTTGGTATTAATTGTATCTTGTGACTCTGGCCATGTTGCATCATTTCTGCATCTCAGTTTCTCAGTCAGAAAGATGAATACAGTAATACCAATGCTGCAATGTTGGGAGAATTAAGGATGGGATCTACAGAGGTACATGACCCCCTCTAGAAAAACTACAGATTGTAACTTAGCTGTAGGCTCTCAGTGAACAAGTATTCCTTCCTTTTCCTCCTCCATTTCCTAGGTGACAGCTCTCTTATGTATAAAACAGATGGACTGGTTAACTAAATATGTTCTGAGGTTGTGTCTGCTAAAACACATGGCAGGGGTATTGACCTATGTGAGCTCTTAGCATGTTTCCCAGTCCCTTCATGATGTCTGATCAAGCCATTCTCATTTCAGTTTCATTATTACCTTCATAGGCATGGGGAAACTGAGGCCCAGTGAGATTAATCACCTTGCTGTAGGTTGCAGATAAAGTAATTACGGACTGTGTTAAATCAGGACTCAGGTCATCACAACTAGGAATCTCAACACACTGGGTTTGGGTTCTGGATTTGCATGCTGTTCCTCTTTTCCAAAATGTGACTTAATCACACCCACTACACTCCCGTGATGTCAGGAGAGCAATGTATTTATTATCTAAGTTCTAGAGAGGTGGGGGCAGGGCATTTAAAATGGAACTAGGAGTCAGAAGAGTTGGGCACCTGCTAGCCACATTTCTAGTGCCTCTGGGCAAGCCGAAATTGAAGGTAATTCACCTCTTACGCCTTTTCCTCATCTGTGACGTGGGGATGATAATCCCTTAGGGAATTAGGTGAAATAGGGTTGCAATGTCACCTGCAGAACATGTGCATGGAAGGTGTCGAGTTAGGGTGGTCATTATGAAAGTTTCAAGATACACAAAACTCAAGAAAGAAAATCTGCATGGATGAAAACAAACGAAGTCCTCCTAGCAATCAATACTCGTAAGCCGAGCAAGTTGAAACTTGAATGGGTAAATCAGAAAGAATGCTGGCAACTGTTTCTTGAAAGTGAAGTAATAACACAGCCTGTCTCAAAACTTTCATACCGGCCAGGTGTGATGGCTCACGCCTATAATCCTAGCACTCTGGGAGGCCAAGGCAGTTGGATTGCTTGAGCTCATGAGTTTGAGACTAGCCTGAGCAAAAGCGAAACCCCGTCTCTACTTAAAAATAGAAAAATTGAGGCAAGAGGATTGCTCTAAAGCCCAAGAGTTTGAGGTTGCTGTGAGCTATGATGCCATGGCACTCTACCCAGGGCGAAACCTTGAGATTCTGTCTCAAAAACAAACAAACAAACAAACAAAAAAACCTTTCATACTAACCCACATACTTATTATGTATCAAGTACATAATTCCTTGTGTCCTCACCTCCTCACCTCTCCTTCTTATCTCAGCCTTGCCCACCTTCCATCCCCCAACCCCAAGTCCCTGTTGCACTTACCCAACCACAGCAGTGGTAGAGCCATCAGCATGATCTCAGGGGCAGGAGGGGACCAGGGTGTCTCCTGCTGCTGAGTCTGACCTCAGATCTGTGTGTCCTGGAGGAAGGGATTTGGGCTGGATGAGGAGAGGGACAGCAGTGAAAAGGCTGGGCTGGGGTGGAAATAAGCCCACTGCTTGCTGGGGACTCGTCCCTTCAGAGCTTGATGGGACCAGATATTGAGGAGCTTCAGAAACAGGAGTCACCTCTAAGGCTCTGTGAGGCCCCAACACCATGTCTGCTTTTCCCTCTCTCCTCCAGTCTTCATGCCCAGGCCACTCCCCCTTCACAGGGCCTCACATTCAAGTTTGAGGAGCTCAAACTCTGTTCTAAATCACTGGGGAAGGCATGGAAATCATGAAAATGTTTTAAACACGGGGGGCACAGGTCTTACTGTTCTGAAGGTCCCCTGGATCTGTACTGAGGGGCAGGCAATGGCCCAGGAGAAGGATGGGGATGGAGAGAAGGAAACATATTTAAGGGAGGTGGGTGAGAAATAAACAGTACTGTGGCTGACAGCATAAATCCTAACCCTGCCTTGCATTTGAAGCTCTCCACAATGTTGTCCCACATTTTTTCTATCTCCTCTGGCCCCTTTCCCTGCACCCCATCGTTCTTCCTGTGACAAAGAGAAAAGCACCCTGCACATCCTACATCTCTATGCTTATTTAGGCCACCTCTATTTCATGGTATCCTTCTGCACCTCTGTCCTCTGCCCACATTCAAATCCTCCCCTGTCCTAAGTCCAGGTCAAATGTAAACTTCTCCTGGAGGCTCCTTCCCGGATCTCCACAACCAGAAAGAAGTTTCCTTTCTCAGACTTGCCTCTGCACCTCGTCTGCCCATCTCTTTTAGGGCAATGTTCCAGGCGGACCCTGAGAGCGGTCTGCTTACATCCATCCTCCTCTCCCTCATTATTTCAAATTTGTTCAGGAGATAAAGCCCTCAGTTTGAAAACAAAGTCTCTATTTCCTGCCTCCTTTCTACTGAGTGGCGTTCACACCGCACAGTTCTGGCCAGCGAGCCAAGCAGAAGAGATATTCAATCAAACTATTTCAGCAAACAAAAGCCTATTCAGCTGTTTCACCCAGTTTTTTCTTTTTTTGTCATCACAGTTGAGCTCCAAAGGCCTTTTTCCTTTTTGCATATGATACTAACGGAATTCCAGAGCCTGGTTTATACAAAAGTAAGTTTTCATAATAAAGTACATGAGTCTCAGAAAGAGTTGAAAGAAATGTTTCCTTCCCCTGAAGCGATAAATCAAAAGGTATTGTTCTGTGTCATAGAATGGTTGGAGGAATGTGCTTTGACACTCTGCAGAGCTGAGAATGTTTATAAGAATATCATTTATGTTCTCGGCAATATACAGTTTCCTATGAATATTCATGATTATTGCTGACTTGTTCTCGTCTTTGTTAATGGAAATCTGCCCTTGGAAGAACAATTTAAACAAAGCAGTCTTATGAGCCTCCAAACACATCAGAAATTATTCCCTGTCTTATGAAAATGATCTCCAAAATAAAATGAAGTTCTGACAGGTTGTCTTACTAGATGGTTTCTTGCTTCGTTAATAACATTGTCACTGACACCTCTGTTTTCCCAAGTTGTATACCTGTCTGGAGAGAAGCCTCTTTTTCCTCATAACCAATGCAAAGTTCTTCCTCATGAACTTTGCTAGACTTTATTAAGCAAATATGTGGTCAGACTTGTCTACTTGAAATACCAGGCGTAGGCTCGGCGCTTGTGGCTCAAGTGGCTAAGGCGCCAACCACATACACCTAAGTTGGCGGGTTCGAATCCAGCCAGGGCCCGCCAAATAACAACGACAGCTGCAACCAAAAAATAGCCGGGCGTTGTGGCGGGCGCCTGTAGTCCCAGCTACTTGGGAGGCTGAGGCAGGAGACTCACTTGAGCCCAGGAGTTGGAGGTTGCTGTCAGCTGTGATGCCACAGCACTCCACCCAGGGGGACAGCTTGAGGCTCTGTCCCAAAAAAGAAAAAGAAAAGAAAAGAAATACCAAACGTAAGAGACTATTGGCTAGAGAGTTTGGGGAGTTTTGCTTTTGCGATATTAGCACCACCACTTCTTCCCCAGTACTTTCTCTTCCTCCCAGGAAGATAGATGTGATTGCTGAGATGGAGTAGCCACCTGTGATCATGAGATAACCACACAGATGAAGGTCAGAGATTTGAGGATGTTATTGATAACAACAGAGGGAGCCTGGCTCCCCAACACCTTGTGGAGCTGTGCATTTGGTTGTCACGCAATTTGGGAAATTGATGAAATATCTTTCCAGGAAATCTATTTAAGAGTGAACTCCTTCAGGGAAGGCCCTGTATCAAATTGACTTCTGTGTACTCCACCGTGCTTAGAAAGATTCTTGTCTGATGAACATCCACTGGGAAAAAAATGAGCAAGCACAATCTCTTCCTGCTTTGTGGCAAGCATTCATTTGGAATTGGGCTCCCTGAGTTTGAGCATCAGCTGTTCGTTGTTCCTGGCACTGCTTTCTGGCTCACCCAGGGGACATTCCCAACCATGTTATCTCTTGCTGGTACCACTAGAGAGGCCAGAAAATAATGAATACGTCCCCAGCTTTCCTTGCAATGATGGTGACCATGTGACACAGTTCTGATCAATGCAATGGGGGTGGAAGTCTGCTGGGGTTCTGAAACGATTTTTAAAATCATCCTCATTAAGGGGTAGTTTATATCAAATAAAAGGCATCTTT